TTTTTTTTTTTTTTCTCCGTGCGTGTGGAGGCTGGGAATATTATTTCAGGCGTAAGAGAACCATGTGGTGCGTTTTTGTTTCTTCTTGATTTGTTTGTCTCTTCGTTGTTGTTGTCGTTGACGACTCTCGCTGTCGTTGTTGTTGTCGTTGTGGCTTCTGCCCTTCTTCTGTTCTCTCTCGCCCCGCTTCGCTCATCCGTCCACTAATTTTTTTTTCCTGGTTCTGCTGCAGGTGTTCTTACTGTCCTTGGTGGTGGTGTCGCTGGGTCGTCGCACCGTCTTTTCTCTCCTGTCGGCTGTTCTGCTCTCTTCCTGCCGCACACACGCACACAAACAAACACACACCCACTGTCCTTCGCTCTGTCAAATCGTGGAGCTTTCTTTACAGGTCCCCAGCAACTACAATGTGGCAGCAGCAGCAGGAGTGTGTGGAGCACCTCGTGGCCAAGTGCATCGCGTTGGGCCTCACGATGAGGCGGTCGTCGCAAGATGTGACACACCCCGCCGTGACGCTACAGCCGATGATAATGCGGCGCGACGAATTTGACGCGCTCTGCGAGCAGCAGCTGCTGTGGAATGAAGCAGTGGACAACACAGCGAGAAATTTCACGTTCCTGTATGACGCACTGCGCGAGACAGCGGCGAGCGACACCGAATTCACTGGGCGGCTCGTGGAGATGCTCCAGACTGTGTACCTTGGTGACTCCCCGTACCAGTCACTCATGCTTGGTATATTCCGCACGGACTACATGCGCAGCGGAGCAGAAGCAAAAGACACCTCGGACGCGGAGGCTTGGAAGAATGTGGAGATTAACACTATCAGCTGCTCCTTTGCGGGGCTCGCACCCCTCGTCAATGATTTTCACCGTCACCTTGAGGCCTATTCGCGGGCGATGCAGAACCCTGAGGCGAGCAGTAGTACAAAAGATGCCGCCAATCAAGCTGGCGTGTTGGAGCGGAGCAAATCAGCGAAGGTTGTACCAGAGGCACTTGCGGCTGCCGTGGTGGCGTGGACGCAGCAGCAGCAGTTCGACGAACTCCGTGAAACGTATGCAAGGCAGCAGCAGCAGCAATTGCTGCAACCTATTGTGCTTGTCATTGTTCAGGAGAACGAGCGCAACACAGGCGATCAGTATGCGCTTCTGTTCGAGCTGCTGGAGACGCATGGCATCCTCGCACTGCGGCGCACGTTGCAGGAGCTGCACACATGCATGCAACTGCACCCTGTGCCGAACGGGGCGCCGCTTGCCGTTGTGGACAAGAGCTACCCTGTTGCGGTCGCATATTTCCGCAGCACATACGTGCCGGCCGACTTCCCAACTGAGGAGGCGTGGGCCGCACGACTGCAAGTGGAGCGCAGCAGCGCTGTCAAGTGTCCCAGTGTGCCGTACCACCTCCTCACCTTCAAGAAGCTGCAGCAGCTCTTCTGCGATGTGGATAACATCCTCGCTCCTGTTGCGTTCCGAGGTGACACGGCGAAGGCGCGGCTGCTGCAACGCCACTTCATGCCTCAGTACGCCCTCAACCCGGCAGAGGTGGGCGAGGCGACGGTGGCACGCGTCATTGAGGACGCGCTGCAGAATCCACAGCGCTACGTCCTGAAGCCGCAGCTGGAGGGTGGCAGCAACCTCCTCTCCGGTGCAGCGATGGTGGCGGCGCTGCAGATTACAGAGGCCGAAGACCCCGTCGCGTACAGCAGAATACGCCGCGAGTATATTTTGATGTCCCGCATCGACTTCCAAGTGCGCTCTGGTGCCTTCCTTGTGCACGGTAAGGTAGTGCAGCTGAAGCACAATTTGTGCTCGGAGCTTGGCATCTATGGCGTCATACTCAGCGATGGCAAAAGCAGCAGTAGCAACACGCTGCGGAACGCGTGTGCAGGCTACACTGTACGCTCGAAGCCGGCGGACGTGGACGACGGCGGCGTCATGGCGGGGGG